GTCTTATTCAAGTACTTACTTTGTTACTTATTTGTAGCGTCGATGACAGAAGAAAGGAAGTCCTTTACCGCCCCTACCACTACTACCACTGAACCCTCTGATGTCTCTAGACAAAGCTCAATAGTTGTTGAGGATGATGCCGGTCATAGCGAAACGGTGAGTAAATGGAACAGTGTAATGTTCAGCGGTCTAATTGAACCATCTTTGATTGAACTATATTTTAAACGTTAATTAATTTCATAGTATCAGTTGATTAGTGGCAGTTTAATTGGTGCCCGCTCATATACCCAATAAGTTTTAAATAAAGACATTGCAAAATGACATTATATTTAACAATTTACAGACGTTTGACGGCGATGAAGATGACAGCGTTTATCAAGCTATCAGATCCTCGCAAAGATCAAGCCGTCAATCTCAGAGATAGTATCTCTTAATGATATCTTCCTAATCTACTTCAACAATCTCTTCACTACAAATCTTAAGGATACCAACTTGTTTTACTTTAATAGTGCTTTCTTAGTTTCAGATTATCATACAGTATGTACTTACACTCGCTGTTAAGACGTGAATTTAAGTACAGTGAGTATGATACAATAATATAAAGCATGATATTTTTATTTATCAGAGTCAGAAGTAATCACATTAGAGCTTTAATGATTGTATTACAGCGGGCTGTAATTTATTATTATTAAGGGTTTCGTTACGATATCAATATGACATGTTATGGTAATAATGACTTTCATTACGATTGCCTTATTATATTTCCACATCTTTTCATTACTGAATGTTTTAACGCCAAATGTGACAAAACAAATGTTTTTCAAGTGTATTTATAATGTAAAATATAATAAATTATTCAATTTATATCATGATCAAATTTACACTCTTTTATATGCGAGATTATTAACATAATTTTCTGGGTTTACTCAGAAACCGGCGCATTATTGTGAATCACAGGTGGTAATTAACCACCTTTTTACTTTCTTTCCCCGCCAAATCACCCTTTTCAAGGCCGTGTTTTCTGACACAACAAACATTTTAAACTTGAAATTTCCAGTTCTTGAAGCCTTTTGAATTTGTGAGGAGTTTGTCATGTCTTATTATGGTCTTGTATCACGTCGTGACCCCCATTGTCGTTTCACTAATCGTGGCGAAAGCCAACGTGTGACTAAGTGACAATTATGGTCTATATAATTCTCTGTGTTGGGTCAGAGGTCCAATCATGCAGCTAACTGGATTAAGGCAGTAAGGAAGTACATTTTCGTGAAAAGCAAGGGTGAGATGTGCCGAGAGCGGGAATTGAATTATGGTCTATGTAATAGATTCCAAATTGTCAGCATTTCCAATCTGTTTGTCTTATTCTGCTGTAACCTACAAACTATTCACACAATGTATTTTAACACTACAAAATCGTTATCTTCTAAGTGATAATTACTCGCTAAGAGTGTTCAATACTTTGCGTCAGGCCATTATTTTGCGCAGTACTTCCCCTTTATTTGATAGCTCAATATACTATATACTACACACATTTCTATTGTAATACCCTATCTCACTACATTTCCCCCTGGGTACACGTACTTAAGTTCGACACGCACTCTAGTTCGACACGTACTGTAGTTCGACAAAATCTAAAGGTCGACTTTGTCGAACTAGAGTGCGCTACCTGGACTCTAGTTCGACACGTACTAAAGTTCGACAAAAGAACTTCGACTGGATGAGAAAGATATTCATAAAGATAGAATTTGCAATTCAGGATATCTTTCAATTTAGTTTTTTATCGAACAACTTTGAGTCGCATATGAAATTTGATAACGTTCCGTGAGCCAGAAGTAACGATAATATTAGACTTAAAGGACATGATGGTCTAACTAAAAAGTCACATTCACATTGTCATTATGTAATCTTATTGGGAGCTGATTGAGACAATGGATAACATGATAACTACTTTACAATCTGATGCATAACCAACCTCGTATTCTATTGTTAGTTAGCAAAATTGTAGACTAAGCGGTGCCCCGTTTTATAGATCTAGAGTACGCTTGTAAACTTAAAGTAGGAGAATTACAATTAATATTATTGATTATACTGAATGGTTCTGAAATTTCGTGAATATTCCCCCTGATGAGGCCCAATCATCATATTATGCAATGTGAACTGTCACATGTGAAGTGTCAACTGTCACATGTGAAGTGTCAACTGTCACATGTGAAGTGTCAACTGTCACATGTGAAGTGTGAATTGTCACCACGGAAGAATCACCTCTGAACAATATTAAACAGTGCCTTGTGGAATGAGAGCATGCTTTGACTTCCTTTTGCTTCGTTTTGTATACTGTTTTAGGGGCATATTAAATATTTAAACTACTAATGGTCCCCTTAATATTAATATTAATATTGTGTTAAGTAAGCGTTATAAGTTATAAAAAGACATGCCAACAGATATTAACACCTCGTACGGTTCGATTTATTAAGAAACAGTATTCAGGTAAATGTAATCGTGTACCCATCTTGTGCTTTCTTGAAAAGTTCCGTATAGTTCTTGATTCAATACGATAGAATTTGAGATAACTCATGCATATAATACAGAATCTGATCCTCAGCATACTATAAATATACATTATTCTTCATTATAGAGTGCAAGGTGTCTCCATGAAGATATATGAAATAACGTAATATTATTATTTATCATCTTATTGTCACGCCATGTAATACATGTAGTTGTACACACTAAAAGTACACCATATACATCAGTACTCAGAGTTGGTATTTAATTTAACCCGTCTACTCATCAGACAGTGTTAATCAAGGAAGTGAACACATCACAGCTGTTACTGCAATGTTAGTGAGAATACAGCCCGACCGTTCTTCTTTAAACAATCAGTTTTAACTCAGTTTTACTCAGTTCTGTCATGCAGTACATTGTACGTGCCTCCTATAACTCGTAATAAGAACAAGTCCACCACCACACTCATTACAAAGGTGGTAATCTGAGATGTCGCTGAAAGAGGGGGTTCTGTTTGGTGTGAACGAGGGTGATCATCTTGGTTTTGAGGCTGCTGTGCTGCTGGATGGGCGGCAGTTTGGTCGTCTCTACGCTCTTATCTTCCTTTAGCACGCCCAGCCCGGGTTTTACTGACCGGCCATGTAAATCTTGTTCTTGTAGCTCCTGTTGGGGGTCTTGTTATTGGATATTTTGGATGATAACGGATTCAGTGACTTATTTTGATCGATGCCATTTCAGTATATAGTGAACATTACATTGGCTCTTCCACACTACCTCGATTGATATAAGAGGGGCACTTGGTTCATTACTACTTATTTAATGTAGATGGTTATCAAATGATATATTCGGGGGGAAAAACTGCACATTATCAAATTCAAACGTTTTGAGATTTATGGTACAGTACCTTAATGGGTTTCTTACCTCTAATCTGTGATGATATCTGGCAGTCCGCAACACAAGCTGTGTCATAGTTCTCTCACGGCCTCTTCTCTGCTCTTCCTTCAGTGTGTCCAACACCTGGGTAACAGTATTTAGACCACTTACTAGGCGGGGTCATTAGTCATTCCAGTCATTCTAGGCATTATAATTAAAACCAATTACTGGCGGCGTCTGGTGTCTTGGAACCAGATAATTGTACTGCATTATATTGGTGACCTCTGGATACCAAACGCACTAGGTTAAAAGATAATTGTTTAAGTTCAAATAAAGTCCGGCCTGGAAGTCCGGGATTTAAGACCCTGCAAACAATAATTTGCACTTTAAGTTTACGATCGTATGATGATGTAATTGGTATGAAGACGTCCACACGAACCTCATATAGATCAATAAACCTTGATTAGCTGGTACACAACGGCATCAAATAACAAAACTGTGATTAAAAGCTGACCTGCAGTTTCTGATCGAGAACATTCTCCAATCTTCTGTTCAGTTGTTTGGTGTTTAGGTCCAGGATTTGAGATTCTTTGGACAGCCGCATGATCGTCTCCCCAAATGTTTACCTCACATGCGCAATTTGATCTTTCGAGATCTAACGCCAAACAGTCGAAAATAACTATCGTAAGACAGAAAAGCAGCCGATTCTAGACTGAGGATGTTAGACTTAAGAAACGGACAATAAGCTGGTAAAGTCAGAACACTTTAACGTCAAATTACACGGTTACAACGAACAATCGGTTTCTAGCTCGAATCTAAGTATCTTGTGCACGTTCTAGAGTTATTTCCGGACTCAGTTCGTGGTACGTGGTAATAACTTAATAACTTTCTTACCTGGAGACATTTCAGGTGGACCAGTGATTGTAGCTTCGTTAAAGTCACGTGACACGTCAATTTAATTAACTGCAGCTTGTTCGATTGTACTCAGCAAAACGCTCGAAAAATATCCGGCTACTTTCAAACGACGGAGAGGTCATCCAGGATATATATTGAGAGTGATTATTGATGGTTGCCATGGTGATTTGTGTGGTTAAACCTATTATACATGGATGGTTGTTAAATTGATCCAGGTTTAATGGGATCTAAATCTATTTTATTCCGGTCACGTGGTACTAAGTCTATAAAGACCGGCTTGTGCTACTAATGAGTAATGATATGCATTATGTTGTCTCATATTTATATATTACGATGGACTATTATTTGAAACTTTATGGTTTAAGTTTACTTAGGGAAATGCCTGAAATATTCTACCGTGACTTTTATCCGTCAATTATTCGACCACGGAAAATATGACCACTTTTGTGACTTGTTGGTATTGGTAGTTATCAAGAAAGCGCCGAGTGGGTCTATCAGATCGTTTAATTTTTTAAAGATCTGAGAATCGCCTTCAAGTAATTTTCCGTTCCAAACTTCTGCTAGAATTCCAAAGAAAAAATGTATTTTCAGATCTATCATTATCAAAGTAAATTTGAAAATTGTTTACAAATCTATATAAACAATACATATTTCTTACAAGCGAAGCTCGCATCAGTCTACCAACCCACTAACTCTAACCCACCAGATAGCCGCATGTCAGCTCCCAAGAAATCTCGGATGGAACACTCTCCAGAGGTCCAGAAGTTTGTCGAGTTCCTCAAGATACGAACTGTTCACCCTGACCCAGCGTACAAAGAATCTCGACTCTGGCTGCTGGACTATGTGGCTGATATTGGGCTTGAGGTAAGCGTTTATTTGAGATGCTTACTGTTATATTTTACCGTTATATGTTATGATCTGAATACTCTCCCTTTTGAAATCAGAGGTTTGATAGTATTTGTCATCAACTTAAATCCCCGCCTTAAGAAAGTGGAACAATAAACTTTAGTTATTGGTCAGAAATAAACAAATTATTAGGGTAACAACATGTGTAATATACTCAATTACATTAAATTAAAAAATGTACAAAATCATTCTAAGCAATACTAAACTTGTCAACATTTTAACATTCAAATTTCAACCTAACAAAAAATTCAAATAAAGTAATAAGCGCGCTGTTTCGTCATGACAGAATCATCAGAAGTGACAGGTTTGCAGGACAGCTTTCTCTTCAAACCCAGAGTACAGCCCTTCAGCCAGAACACACCACCCCTAACATTTCCAGCTCTGGTTCTCTCTGCTTGACCCCCGGTTGTGGATCTTCTCCCTTTAGAGGGTTTGGTAAACTCCTTCCTGCTGAGAGTATCCTTAGTGTTCTCGAGGTTACCCGCACTGCTTTGTATTCGGATCAGGAAGGGTCGGAGAGATGGGGTCTTGTCAAGAGGAGCACTCTTCCTCTTCTTCTTGGTATCCAGGGAGACGTTGTGTAGTTTCATTGAAGTGGGTTTGGCAGGGAGGTTAGGCATGGAGACGTGGTGAGATTTCCTGGGGGTTGACATGGAGGTGGGGTTGAAAGGGTTGATGTTGGTGGGTTCCCTGATGTAGAACGAGAACACACTCTTCATGTCATCTTGAGGTGAGGTGGGGTCAGAGGAGAGGGTGCCTGACAGGATGGGTGGGAAATATTGGAACATTCTGGGTTGTTAAACTGTGAAGTAGGTTCAAGTCAGAAGTACTGGTTGTGAAGTTATAGAAGTAAGAAGTGAGTAAGTGAAAGTTGGTGCTGGTACAACTATCTAGAGGTTCTTGTAGAATTATGTTCGAATCAAGGAGGTGGTAAATATTAGCTAGCAATAATTAGACAATGTTGATATTGTTTTTGCTCACATTTATACCACCCTTCTTGATAAGATCACGTGATACAACAAGGAGTTATCAGTTATCAGATGTCAGACCGGACCTGATGATCAGCTGGCCTGAATCTCTGCAATTTGGAAGCTAGTGATTGGCTGGTGTGTCAGGTGAAACCAGCTTGTCTGATCAGATCACTTGATCTGATATTCCTCAGCTGTTTGTTTATTTCAATGTAATTCCTTACTCATTCCATGAATAACTGAATCAAGAAAGCAAATGCACTTAAATTCATGGCCTTCACAAATAATTACAAGTAGCAATTCCATACGTACCTAAAATTGCTTTGTGTGCCACAAATTTGGCGAATTTCGGGTGATTATTTGAAACATTTGCGGCAAACATTTTGTTAACCGAATTTTGATATCAGAGGAAAACGGTGGTAAATAAATACTGTGTGTAAGTTAAACCTAGCGGGAGTAAGGTTGCATTCGTCCCATGATATTCAATTTACAACATCGGAAACATTATCAAGATGAGCTAACTGGCACTCATAAGGGGATTGTTCTTCTCAAAAGGTGACAACTGTTGGTATTTCAGGAATGTCAGTGTTTTTATATTATTATTATTGTGTGAGACTCCTGCCCCTCAATTCCTCTAGTCTCCTTTCATCTTCAATTATTCAACAAGAGCAAGTATCTAACTAATAATCCCAGAATGTGTGTTTTCTGTCTGTCTGTCTGTCTGTCTGGCTGTCTGTTTGTAATTTCCGAGCGGCTTAATCAAGAAAACGGTAAGAGTTGCGGGACTGATTTTTTCAAGAAAGTGCCGACAAAACTCTGACGAAGTTAAATGATAAAGGTTTTTTGGGGTGAGCGTCGTCGACGTTCTGCTGAGGATCCCATAGGATTTATGCACCCTCCCGGTCCACCCAGCCGAATGCTCGAGAAATCGTGTGTGAGGGTTAAATGGGGAGCTGTGCAATATAGTACAGCGAAAAAGCAAAAACTCAATGAATGGTTACCGTAATGGGTGCCACATGCCTAGCATGAAATATTTACCTACTTACTTACACTTGTGTAGGTCTGTAGAAGCATTAGAATCGGGCGTTGCCTGCCACAGGCTATCCCGAATTTAGAAGCTTGCTTTCATCAAATCGGTCGTTGGTAAGTGGTTTAATTGATGGTTTTGTACCACAAATGTTACATAAAATGGCTTGGGCAGAACGGTAAGAGTTACGGGGCTCGCATATGTAGCTGCATAATTAGTGTAATTGAGTTACCCGAGTAAGATTCGCTGTCTATATTATAATCTTATTAGGGGAGGGGGCACTGTTTGGACTGCAGAGAGAGAGTTCATACTTTCATACGACAATGTTATGCGTGTTCACAAAAATGATAGGCGGGTGTGGTGTTAAGGGTTAATTTCTATTGATTATTGTTTAAGATACTATTACTATTGTTTAAGATACCATTGGATACGTAAGGGCACTCCGACTAGAATTGCTCACCTAATGCGGTTTTTGACTCAACGGGTAAATGCTCCTACCCTATTTAACTGCGGCAGTGAAATCCCGGCCGAAGGCCGGGTTACACTAGTAAACAATAATAGCGTTTGCTAATAATTCTGCAGTTTGTTAATGTTCAGTTTTCACCCACGGTCCACTCATGGTCCACAGAGTATCGATTGAACTTCAAAAATAAGGGATTTATTTGATAAATTCGATAAACTATTTTGGAGGAATAATATTGTTAACTTTGAAATCAATGCTAAACAATAACCAGCCTCGTGGTATACTGCTTATCATTGACTCAAACTCAAGACTACAATAATTTACAAAATCTAAATATATTATAAACAGTATCTTACTCGGTCTGACACATCTAGGACTTTCTCCAGAGAACACATAGTCAGTGCCACTAACACAGGTAGCTGTCCGTGCCCCAACATTAAGGTGTTTAAGTTTGCTACATTTGAAGGTGATAACGTCTCCTTCCTGGACCGGAATCACAGCATCGTACGTAAGACCGTCTTCCAATTGTAACCTCGCGCATTCTGAAGTCCGATATTTCAACAATTGTAGCTGTCCGATTAATTAAGGTCTGAAGGCAGATAATTTTAACCTGAGCTTGGATTTAAGAAGATTAGTGAAACTAAAAGTGGATTCGCACTATATTAGAAGCTGAACTCACAGAGAGGAAGACAATTTGGCACTTACCAATAATGCAAAGGTCTACAGTTGCATCAGTATCAAGGAGACCGTCGGGAAGGGGATTTGTAATCGTTGGTTTTCTGGTGCCGTCTATCGTTATATCAGCCTGGAAAATGTTATTAGAGACTCTAAAATCCTTTAAAGACTTTAGCGTCGGTAGTTTTCTACTTATTGTTACTCTTGTGCTCGTCACAAAATATGTTATTTTTTCAAAATGGTCTTTTGGTGGCAGAAAAATAAATAAAGTGAAATCGGTGTACGAAGTTCGTTGGCAACATTTTTTTAGTGCCATAATGGTGATCTAGTGTTGCATTACGGTGTCGGTGAGTTCATTAATATAACAAAGTCTTATTCTAAAATCTTATCAAGATTACCTCATTGAAAAACCAGCCATCTTTTCCCACCATCCTTACAGATAAGCACTTGAACTTCCCTATGTTAGTATTGTCAGTGAAAGTCCGCACATCTAATTTGCCTTGTTGTCTATAAGGAAAGCCTGCATCATACTCGGACGATAAACCCTCGGTTCCCACAAAAGTGTAGAAGAAGCCAGAGTTGGAGCCACCATCATTATGATTGGATGTGAGTATTGAGACTTCGTACTCATCTGAAGAACATCGCTGATTAAAGGAGTTGGCTGACGTACTCTTACTTAATTTTTTTAACGGATAATCTTTCTTTTTCCAAATCTTGTTTTGAGATCATATATGCTGGTGTAGAAACAATAAATGGTAAACAATAAATGGTATTTCACGCTGCACTCTGCAGTGACGAGTTCCAAAATCTCCCAACTAAAAATACACCTATGAGTCCCAAAATTTCCCGAAAAGCGCCAAATGCCAATTTTCCCTGGAACTTAAAATTTATGAGGGCTCATTGTTTTTGCGACTCCGCACCCACCCTATCTATTATGGGGTCTGGACTATAGGGCGTAACACTCTAGGGCGTAAGACACTAGGGTCTTAGGGTTAGGGTTAGGGTTAGGGTTAGGGTTAGGGTTTGGGTTTGGGTTAGGGTTAGGGTTAGGGTTAGGATAAGGGTTAGGGTTAGGGTGATGGTTAGGGTTAGGGCGCCGCCCTAAAGTCTCACGCCCTAGAGTCTTACGCCCTAGAGTCCCGGACCCATCTATTATATATGTTTCCTCTGACAATAATTGTTAACAGGATATTATCAGTCTAGTCAGTAGTCGATATATCTAAAAATTAGGCAAACTATTGTGAAGAAATCATATTGGTAACTTTGAAATCAGTGCTAAACACTAAAAATTGCCATATTATACTGCTTAGCATTGACTCCAACCCAAGACAACAGCATCATAAAAAATATAAATATATATTATAAACAGTATCTTACTCGGTCTGACACATCTTGGACTTTCTCCAGAGAACACATAGTCAGTGCCACTAACACAGGTAGCTGTCCGTGCCCCAACATTAAGGTGTTTAAGTTTGCTACATTTGAAGGTGATAACGTCTCCTTCCTGGACCGGAATCACAGCATCGTCCGTAAGACCGTCTTCCAATTGTAACCTCGCGCATTCTGAAGTCCGATATTTCAAGAATTGTAGCTGTCCGATTAATTAAGGTCTGAAGGCAGATAATTTTAACCTGAGCTTGGATTTAAGAAGATTAGTGAAACTAAAAGTGGATTCACACTATTAGAAGCTGAACTTACTGAGAAGAAGACCAGTTGGCACTTACCAATAATGCAAAGCTCTACAGTTGCATGATCATCAAGGAGACCGTGGGGGAGGGGGTTTGTTATCGTTGGTTTTCTGGTGCCGTCTATCGTTATATCAGCC